TCAGGTCAACACACAGCAGCAAATCTACTGTCAGCGTTTGATAGGTCATTTAAAAACTGGAACATTCCACGAAACAAATGTCATTTAGTTTTGCGAGACAATGCGGCAAATACCCAATGTTTCCGAGATGGAAACATTAAAAGTGCACCTTGTTTTGCCCACACGGTTCAACTCTGTATCAACGATGGTATATTAAGTCAACGTGGTGTTAGTGATCTCCTGAAAGTTGGACTTAAAATAGTGGGCCATTTCAAACACTCGTCATCAGCCACAGATCGTTTGTACAATTTGCAAGCGGATTTAAATTTGCCAAAACACCAGTTAATTCAGGACATCCCCATAAGGTGGAATTCAACATTCTTCATGGTGCAGCGACTGTTAGAGCAACGTTGAGCAATAACATTGTATTGTGCTGAAAATGAACCTGTTACTAATTTGTTACCAAATAAATGGTCTGTTGCTGTAGCTGATATTCTTAAAATACAATGCTTCACTTATTTAACTATTTACATGTGAAATAATAAACTTTTTTTGTACGCTGGACTTTTTTAATAAAAAACAATCAACACTTTATAATATCATGAATTTTATATCTGGTTTTTTATCATTAACTTATTGTGTATTGGAAACTCAACTATTAATATATGAATTTAACTAGAACGTATTTGACGTATCACACAGCTTATTCATATTTGAATTTAATAACTATTAGCTTTGTGTTATTTTTTTGTTATAACCGTAAATGTGAGTACTTTTTCTAACGTATGTAAAATGGTAACTAAAATCCTGCCCCGGTCGGTTTTTGAATTTTAAATCCGGCCAAGTCCGGCCCCGGCCGGATTTGAAAAACCTAAATCTGGTGCATCCCTAGTTCAAATACTTAAATGTCATTCAATATTATTTTAAATCCGGCCCGGCCGGATTTGAAAATCCTGAATCCGGTGCATCCCTAGTTTTTTATATTATTTTTAGAACTATATGAAGCAGAACAAAACCCCGTGGAAGAAAATTGCGGACCACAGTCATCCATAGAAGTTGTACGTGCTCAGTTTCATAAATATTTAGACACCTATGTTGAAGCAGTCAAGAAAAAAGCCAATATAGATGCTGTTAAATTTTGAATTGACACAAAAAATGAACAGCATGTCTTGGCTAGACTAGCCTTTGGTTTTTTGGCAATTCCAGCTACATCAGCTGCCATGGAGAGAGTTTTAAGTCAATGTGGTCTGGCAACTGCTGACAAGCCTAATAGAGTAGAATCAAAATTGCTTGAAATGAAAATATTCATACACATGTGACTTTTAATTAATGTGTACATTTTCTGTGTGTTACATTTCTACAAAAAATAATTTCTGTTTCTTCCTAGCCTTTCTTTGTTATTTCGCTTCCTGCTGAGAAGTTCGCATTTCGTTTTTACTTAGCATTCGTGTTCTTGGTCGATAAAAAAGTTCTTGTTATTGTAATATTTTTATTTTGTTTGATATATAATATTAGTTTTATGGAAAAATCTGAAGTTCAAGAGTTAGTTAGGAAAAACAGCGAAAGGTTAAAGTTTGTTAAAAATTGTGGAAAAAGCAAAATATGGGAACATTTTCTAATTGTTAATATCGATGATGCTGTATCTGGATTCGTAAAATGTGGAAAGTGCAATGTAGTTTTGCGGTGGAAGGCAAGAGATGGTACAAGTGGGTTAACTTCTCATATTGAAATATGTAAGAAATCTACTCCAAATTTGAAATTGACGGATTTGCCAACTATTTCAAAAACAAGTATTACAGCCGGAAAAATTGAAATTGAGACGATTCGAATTCGATTCCCATTCAATATGAAAAAGAATTGGTGTCCCTACAGGGGCGGACTAAGGCCTAGGCTGACTAGGCAATTGCCTAGGGCCCGTAATTTTTGGGGGCCCGGAAATTCGATTTTAACTTTTTTTTAATTTTTATAATTATATTTTTATGTTTTTTTTTTGGTTTTAATAGAAATGCTAAACATTAACATTGAACAAATCTCAAATTCTAAATTTAACAAGAAAGCGCAATGAAACCATTTTGAAAAATCGGCAAAAATGAATATCGAATAATTTAAAAATATTTTTTGGATTCATTTTCTAGAATTCCTACAAAAAATGTGAGCTTTTATAAAAGTATTAAATTATTCACTTTTCAATATTTATAATTAAATGCTCATTGGTTCTTTGTTGCTGGAAGAAATAATGAACATTGAACTAATCTCGTGTTATAAATTTGAAAAAAGCCCGTTTTCCGCCATTTTGAAAAATCGTCAAAAAGGAATATCGGTCATTTATAAAATTGCTTTGTCAATAGATTTTGATTTGTTTAGTTTTGGATTGATAGTAAATAATTTCTGGAATTCGTTAATTTAAAATGTGAGTTTTGTGGAAATATTACATTACACTATTCAATTGATACTGATATCTGAAGATTACTCACAAGAAGGGCTTTATAAATCAGTAATACTACAAATTGTGATTTTATTATAATTGAGTAAAAATAATGTTAATTGATTTTTTTATTTTTAGTACGTGGTCTCTAATTTATAATGAGTTCCTATAAGCATTTAAGTGGAAGTGAAAAAAGAAAACGAAAAGCAGATCGAGATAAAGTTGCAGAACAAATGAAAGGATCGTTAAACAAATTTTTAATTGTGGAGGACGAAAAATCACAACAATCATCATCATTTTCACAAATTTTACCTGCTCAAACTCCAGAAGCATCACACGAATGTGAATCTATTCAGCAGAAATATCAGCGGGAAAAACTGAGTAATTCCGATTGTGAAGATGAAGCAAAAGAAGATATATATATTAAATCATCTGAAAGTAATGATGAAACTGAGACTCCAGAAGCATCACACGAATGTGAATCTATTCAGCAGAAATATCAGCGGGAAAAACTGAGTAATTCCGATTGTGAAGATGAAGCAAAAGAAGATATATATATTAAATCATCTGAAAGTAATGATGAAACTGAGAGTTTTGTAAACGACATTGCTTTATGGCCAGAATACCTAACAGACGCCATGCTAGAGCATTATGTCAAAAATCCACCAAAATCGATAAATGGATTTCTAGAATCATCTTCCATTCGATGCAACGAAGGATCAAAACAATTCACAAGAAAATTAACTATCGCTTCCTTCTTCAGAACAATTAATAGTGAAGAAAAAGTTAAAAGAGATTGGCTGGCTTATACTCAAACCAATAACTTATTGTACTGTTACGTCTGTAAATTATTTTCCAAGCAAACAACACTAATGGCAAAAGGAACGAATGATTGGAAAAATATCCATGAAAAATTGTCAGAGCATGAAAACTCCAGCGACCACATTAACTCAATTTTAATTTATATAAAAAGATCTAAAATTACTGGGCGTATTGATACTGAATTTTAATTTATATAAAATGATCTAAAATTACTGGGCGTATTGATACTGATACTGAAAAACAAATTATGAATGAAAAAAAATACTGGAGGGAGGTACTTAAACGTGTGGTAGCAACAATCAAATTTATTTCTTCATACTCTTTAGCATATCGTGGTAAAAATGAAGTTCTTTTTAGTGAAAATAATGGTAATTATATAGGTGCTTTAGAATATTTATCCGAGTTTGATCCATTTTTGCGTGAACACATGAAAAGATATGCAAATTGCGGCACCGGAACTATAAGTTATTTGTTATCTACCATATGTGATGAATTTATTTTGATTATATCGAAAGATTTGCAACTCACGATACTGAACGAAATAAAGGAAGCTAAATTTTATTCTCTAATTATTGATTTAACCCCTGATGTATCTCATGTAGATCAGCTTACAGTTATTATTCGGTACGTTCTTCCAAGTGGTATAAAAGAAAGATTTTTGGGATTTCTATCTATATTTTCTCATACTGGTGATAACTTGGAAAAAGTTATTTTAGAATTTTTAAATAGCATTGATTTAGACATCACTAATTGTCGAGGACAAAGTTATGATAACGCATTTAATATGTCAGGTAAATATAAGGGACTCCAATCCAGAATAAAACAACATATTTTTTCTGCTCAATTCATACCATGCTCAAATCGTTCATTAAATTTAATTGGAAATGCTGCTGCCGAAAATTGCATGGAAATAACCACTTTTTTCAATATCGTTCAAAAATTGTACGTATTTTTTTCAAGTTCTACACATAGGTGGAATGAATTAAAAAAATTTTGTAAGAGCAAGCACTTGAATATTAAACCTGTTTGTGACACCAGATGGTCAGCTCGTTCCGATGCTGTAAAAGACTTGAAGGAAAATTATGACGAAATTAAACATTGTTTACGCCATTTTTCCTCAAACAATGATGAGAAACCATTAACAAGATCAGAAGCTGCCGATTTATACAAAAAACTTGATACATTTGAGTATGTACTGTTACTTACTACATGGGAAAATTTTTTAGAAAGAATAGATGCTTCAAACAAGACTCTTCAGCAAAAAGACGAATCCTTAAATACAGCAGTTCTAATTTATGATTCGCTAATAGATTTCATACAAACTGTGAGAGACGATTTCGATCATTTAGAAAAAGAAGCAGAAAAAGTTAAAGATATTGCATATATTAATGATAAAAAGCGACAGAAAATACGAAAACTATTTCATGATGAAACTCCAGAACTTGAAATAAGACTCAGTGGCAAAGAACATTTTAAAGTGAATATTTTTTTGTTGTATGCGATTCTTTAATTAGCAACATTAAGAAAAAATGTGAAGCATACAAAACTATTAATAATAAATTTAAAACAATTTTTTATGACAGTGATATCAATGACTCTTCATTACAGGAATTAAAATGTTATGAACAAGATTTAAACCTAGAAGAACTGAAATTCATTACAGGAATTAAAATGTTATGAACAAGATTTAAACCTAGAAGAACTGAAAAACGAAGTAGTTCAATTTAAGACTTTTATAAGATAAGAAAATATTATTTCGCCTTCGCCTGTATCCATGTGGTCATTTATTCAGGAAAATAATATTATTGCAACATTTCCTAATTTAAATGTAATTCTGAGAATTTATTTAAACCTTCCGGTAAGCAATGCAAGTGGTGAAAGATCATTTTCAGTAATGGGTAGAATAAAGAATTTTTTAAGATCCACGTTGGGCCAACAAAAATTAAATAGCTTATCATTACTTTATATAGAAAAAGAGTTGTTAAATAGTTCTATTAACTATGACAAACTAATTGACGAGTTTGCAGAACTGAAAGTGAGAAAAAAGGCAATTATATAGATATATCAGTCTTGGTGTATTTATATTACTGTTTTAATAAACTACGTTTATGTTTGTTTTTTTTAATAAATGATGTTTCTTTAATTTGTGTACATTTTTTAAAAATTTTGGTAACTGATTTACATACCATATACCAAACTATCGAACGTAAAGTATTTGTCATTACTGAAAAATAGGCCCGGAATTCCAATGTTGCCTAGGGCCCGCTTTAAGCTTAGTCCGCCACTGTGTCCCTAATTAAAAATATGGAAAAGGTTTAAGCATTATGGATGTGCAAAAATTGGCATATGATTTTGCTGAGAAAATGGGCCTAAAGCATCGATTTAGTAATGAGACAAAAATGGCAGGAGAAGATTGGATGCACTGTTTGTTAAGGAGAAATAATTAACTGTCAATAAGACAGCCTGAGGCATCAAATATCTCACGAGCAGTTGGTTTTAATCAGGAAAAGGTTAAATCTTTTTTTGACATTTATGAGGAACTTCAGTCTCAATACTCGTTTAATGCTTTGACAATCTGGAACAATCTTACTTTTCTTGATGGACATCACTCTCACAAAACACTTGAGGCAGTGACATTTTGTCGGAAAAATGGAATTAAATTAATAACATTTCCACCCCACTGATACACTCATCCTGATGAAGCCTCACTAGCGAAACGTCGATGATAATTTTTATTGAATAAAATATTTTTATTTTGATAAATGCAAGGTCTTGGTTCTATCTCGATAATTCGATATTTGTTAGCGTTATTGTAATAGACGTATTAAGGCATCTTATTCTAAAAATTTATAGTAAGCCTGCATATTGGAAAACATTAGAAAATAAAACTTTATGAAAAAAGGTTACTACCGAAAACTGGAAAATAAATTTACTCAAGTGAATTATAACTTTTTTTGAATAATTTTAGTGCGTTATTGTACATTAAGTTTTTTCTATAATGTTTTAGTCCTCAAAGAAAATGCGTGACAATAATAAAAAACAAAAAAGAAGTTCAATTTCACTAAAAACCAAAATTATAATTCTCAAATGCTTGGCGAAAGATCAACAGCAATAGGTAAGCATTATAATTTAGGCGAATCTACTATAACAACAATAAAATAATCGAAGCGGCAATAAGAAGATCAGTCAGATCTGGTGCAAATATGAGTTCTAAAATTTCATCATATTCAAGAGGCACTCTACACCTTGCCGAAGGTACACAAAGATGAGTTTCGAATTTAAGATCTTATTAATTCTTGACAATGCACCAGGTCATCCAAACTTAGAAAATCCAAATATAAAGGTAGTTTTTTTCCATTCAAACACAACGAGTCTAATTCAACCATTAGATCAGGGAATTATTTCAACATTTAAAAAATATTATGTAAAATTCACTTTCCAATTCTTTCCCGATAAACTGGAACCCGATACAATAACAGTTACTGAAGTTTGGAAACAATTTAATATCTTGAACTGTGTAGATCATGTGGTGTTAGCAATTGCAGATAAAATCACAAACTTTAGATGCATGTTGGAAAGCTGCTTGGCCTGAATGCATATCAAAGAGAAATGAATCAAATAGAACAATAGTAACATCAGATATTATTTCAATTGCTAAGGAAATTGGTGGGGAAAGTTTTGATGATTTTGGCGAGCATGATATAGAAGAATTGCTTGTGGACAAAGCCCTAAATGATGATGATATTTTGGGAAAGTATGGTAGATACTACTAAAGATTTCGAAACAGTAGACAGCGAACCGAAAGAAGATGTTACTCCACTGGACAAAAAAAGTACTTTGTGGACGAAGCCCTAAATGATGATGATATTTTGGGAAAGTATGGTAGATACTACTAAAGATTTCGAAACAGTAGACAGCGAACCGAAAGAAGATGTTACTCCACTGGACAAAAAAAGTACTTTGAGAATGCCTTCAACATTCCGGTAAATTGAAAAATTTTTTTATTCAAAATGATAATGATGTAGAACGCGCCTTAAAATTCCAACGTGATCTGAAATTTTGTATGTCTGCTACAGAGAACTCTACAAATAACAACACAAGCCATCACAGCGTTTGATTACTGACTACCTTGTAGAAAAAAAATCACTGATGTTCCTGAAAAAGCATTACCATGTAGATCTGATAACGTAATTTTATCTTCAAGTGAGAAAAGTGATCTTGCACCAATCCACAAATGGGTTCGCACATTATCTGACAGCGAATAATGATAATAACATTCCTAATATGATTTTAAATGAAGTTTTGTTTATGTTTTTTTACATATTAAGTTTTGTTTTTGTTATTAACATACATATGTGCCATTTATTAAAATATAATAAAAAAAAATTTAAATCTTATTATTTAAAAACCTTTTTCTACGCCATTTCTGGTGCATTTTAAAACATTATTTGAGTTTTCTGCAATTTAATAAATGGAACGTATCCATCATTTTGCATATAAATCATTTTTTGTGTGATTTTTTTATATGCAGATTCCCCTAGAATGCATCTAAAGCATAAAAAAGAACAAAGTGTAGTTCTCATGTCTATAACATTTTTTTAAAATAAAAAATAATGATATTAGAATATCATATAAAATTACAAATAAAAAAATGAAGCGCTTTAGTTAAAAAATTTACAAATTGAAAAAAATAAAGCACTTTGATTGGTCCAGAATATTAATGAAGGGCAGAGTCAAATTTAAAAGTCTTCAATATTATTCTATGTAAACAACATAAGCATGGAGTGCTGAGTTTACCCAGTCTTTTTGGACCAATTGTCCAAAAATAATTAAAATCAGGACCATTCTCAAAGCAAAACCAATTGTCAATGTATTGAGTCCATTGAAAACAATGGCGTATTGCCTTGATACATTATCATTATATCAAATGATTTATTTATTATAACAGAAACGATATTGGCAAAACTTTACATTAATGCCTCAATGCAAACAAAAAATTGAGACAGTGATGTGAATGGAGGGTATTGAATACTACGTAAATAGGTGTAAAAGTGAATTTATGTTAATAACGCTAAATAAGTGAATTAGAGTTAATTTATATTAATAACGCTAAATAAACAAATTGTTCTTTATGTTTAACTTTTTTTATTAATTATTGTTTTAGATAAATATAAAAAAAATTAGAACTTTTTATTTCAAAAATATAATGTTAGGACATAACTTTACAAAATCGATTGGCTTATTTAAAATTGAATATATGATAAAATTGTAAAATTCTTCTGAACGAAGTCTACTTGCTTTGCATGGCTCAAAAAATTTAATTTTAAACATCGTGGAAGCATATAATAAAATAAGAACTTAACTGCCTAAACGCTTTTATTCAAATATTGCCAGTTAATTTTAGCGCCCATGCGTCACGATGCATGGAAGTACACATTAATGCCTACGTGGTGAATTGTTTTTAAATGCTTGCAAAAAATGCATGGAACTTTATTTCAATACCTACTAGTTAATTTACATGCTAAAACACTTTCAAATAACTGCATGGAAGTTTATTTTAATGCCTACCATACAAAAGCATGTAACAATATGCATTTACTTTAATGCCTACAATGTATATAAACTTCTCCCTAAAAGCATACAGAAATTGCGATTTTAAAACTAAAAAGTTATTAAATAATTGAGACAGTTAAAAATATGTTTTAACTTTTTATTTTTAAAACTTATTTTCAGTATTTCATTTCAAATCATCAATATTTTTATAAATCTAATAATAATTAACAGTACTAATATACAAGTTAAAATACGTGCAAATAAACATAAAAAGGCATGGAAGTTTATTTTAATGCCTACATGTTAAGTTTCATATGTTAATGTTAATATTCATGCAAATAAATGCTTAAAAAAGTTTATTTTAATGCCTCATGTTAAGTTTTATAAGTTAAAATTCATGCAAATATATGCTTAAAAGTTTATTTTAATGCCTCATGTTAAGTTTTATATGTTAAAATTCGTGCAAATAAATGCATGGAAGTCTATTTTAATGTCAACTGCACACAACCATGCAAGCATGTGAGTTTGTTTTAATCTTTATCTTTAAATGCCTACAATGTAAAAACTTTCTCTTTTTAAAAGCATACAAAAATTACGATTTTAATGCTACAAACTACAAAGTTATTAAATAATTGATGACTGTTAAAAAGATGTTTTATTTTACTATATTTACAAATTATTTTCGGTATTTCACTTTAAATCATAAATAATTTTATAACTCTAATAAATAATTAATAGTCTTAATAATATCAATTCACTTTTAGACATATTTACTTTACGCTTTAACCTACTCTCACTTCCAATTATCTCAAATTTCGTTTGCATTGAAGCACTAATGTAAAGTTTTGCCACGATATTTATTAAATCAAAAAAATAATATAAAATATTTTGATAAGAAACACAAGAAAATCACCCCAAACGCACCCTGCCGGCCAGCTAAACAAAAAGGAATGACACGGAAACGAATATCTAAGAAGCAGTGTTTATATATGGAAAGCCATAAGTTTTGAAAATATATTTTTGTCATATACTTAGTATACTTAGACGCAAAGAGAGGCCTATTTACCAATAAACAACATCTTCTTATGGGTTGAAGCAGGGATTTACGTTTAGCGTGATGGCGGCACGTTTTCTCGGTGGTTTTTTAATTTGGGTGGATTCTTGTTTTCTGCTTCTGAACAAGTGAGTTCTCTTCTTTTTTACTATGACTATTTTTTTCTATATCTTTCAACATCTTTTCCTTAACTTGAAAATATTATTATGTCTTATTCTAGAGACTTTCTCTTAAGCCTTTCTAACACTCCTTTGTCTCCGGCGAGAGTAGTTCGGCGGCGAATTTTTTACTTTAATCTTAGGTCTAATAATAACAATAAAAATAATAAATCTAACTCTAACAAAAAAATAAATATAGTTAGTAACCATAATTATATTAATAATAATAATGTTATTAGCAAGTATAATAAGAATAATAATAATTTTATTAAATCCTACTCTAATCCTAATGTA